ATCTGCAGAGGAAGGCAATGGCAAACGACCCCTGCTTCTCACTTGCTTTGAAAGCCCCTTGCTGGGATCATAAGTCAGTTGTGATTTGTCAGCACTTACATATGTATAGATAAAAGTGTAAATTTGAGTATTGCCTAGTAGGAGGCAAAAGAAATCAAATTGTCAAGGAGACTTCTTAACTGGTGAGGCAGCAAAACTAAAAGTCCAGGAAAACTGGAGCCAGTTTCAGGGAAGCTGAAGCTCCTTGGCCCTCCTCTTCCTGCAGTGGTGAACTTTATTTCATTAGTGGGGCAGACAATGCGTACTCAGAGCCAGAAAGCAGGACACTGGGGTTATCTGAATAGTGGAAGCACACTGAAGAGTAGGGAAAGGAGTTCATTCTGAAAAGGACCAGATCCCCAAAGCAGTGGATGTCTGAAAAGCACAATTTCGATGTATCCCCCCCCCCTATTGGCATATAGATTCCTTCTCCCAGAACAGGAGAGAGAAAAGTATCTGCTCCACTATGTGACACATAAAGCTGCTAACTGGTTGGCCTGCTTCTGTCTCGTAATCAATGGTTTCTTGTGAAGACATCAGCATGCAAATCTTTTGATAGCATAGAAATACACATTCTCACCTGCTAATTGCCACAGAGTAAGTGGCTATTAAAAGGATAATTAGAGGGTGTTTCAAAAGCTGGTAATCCTTGGGGCCAGCCCCACAGAAGGCCTGAGCCAGTTTAACCAGCCCAGAATCTAGAGCAGGGCTATGCAGCATAAGGTCCAAGGGCCAACCGTGACCCCTTGGGAGAATTCCTAATACCCATTCTATGAGAGGCCATTATGCCCTCCTGTTTGTAGGAATGCCTAAGGCCTGACCAAGCCCATCAACAGGGAGAGTTTCAGCAGCATCACTGCATCTACACTGCACATGCCAAGCAGTGTTAGGCGGCCGGTATTCCGTGTTATCCATTCAGTCGTGTTCAACTCTTGGCGATTCTATGGGCCCGTTCTCTCCATGTTTTCCAATCTTGTACTGTTTCTTTGATTTGTTCCATGTTCAGGCTGCTGTCGACTTTCGGGGTGTTCCATAGCTGGGTACAAAGCTGGGGTACTACTGCAGACAAATGTTAAATCTTATTTGGTGTCATGGGCATGCCAGGATGCTTTTCCTAATGGATAAGTAACGAGGGGTGCTTAAGTGGACGGCCACCCAGTAATGACAAAATGTACTCAAAAGGCCCTCTCATTTATGGTGAGAAGTTGCAGACACTTTCCTGTGGCAAGCAAGGAGGTGTTTGCAAGCCTTCAGACAGAAGGAGAAATTATGCTGATTCTACATTGGGATGTTCTGAAGATTCTTCCAAACCATTAGCTTAATTTTCAGGCGACGGAAGGTGTATTTCCACCTTGGGGCTTTTGCCTGGCTTGTGAGGAGCATGAGGAAAATGCCCTTCATTGAACTGTTCTTACTTTCTACCAGTGACTGCTCATTTATAGTGGGAACTCACTGCCTAAAACAGCTTCTTGGCAGCTGTTGCAAATGAGGAAAAACACTATTTAATAACAACGTAAAGGAGAATAGCTCAGTTCATCAGGTGCTTGAAGCATTTATTCAGTATGCATTCTATTTATAACCTGCCTAAAGTGGCTTATATCAGTTTGCTGTCCTCCATTTTATCCTCACAACAGCCCTGTGAGGTAGGTGAGGCTGAGGGTATGTGACTGGCCCAAAGTCACCCAGCAAGCATCCGTGGCAGAGTGGAGATCTGAATGTGGGTCTCCCACATCCTAGCCTGACATTCTGTCTGCTGAGCACCACTGGCTCTCTACCATTAGGCACTTTCAGAGGGCAGCCATGTTGGTCTGCAGTAGAGGAGCGAGATCTGAGTCCAGGAGCACCTCAGAGGCCACCAAGAGTTCCCGAGTGCAGGATTCCAAGAGTCAAAGCCCCCTTCATCAGACACAGTAAAACAGAAGTGGGGATCTGATTACAGCATGCACTGTACCTCTGCATCCTCTACAGGCGTTCCTTGCAACACCCCTCCCAACTTCTGACTAGGATAACCGAACTCAAATCTCCACTTCCGTTCTACTATGTCTGATGAAGGGAGCTTTGACTTGTGAAAGCTTACACCTAGCCCTGACCTGGAGGGACCAGGCAAGCCTGATCTCATCAGATCTTGGAAGCTAAGCAGGGCCGACCCTGGCAAGTACTTGGAAGGGAGACCTCCAAGGAATACCAGGGCCAGCCAGGAGGCAGAAGCAGGCTATCAAGCCACTTCTCTGAATGTCCTCCACGCCCCAGTAGGAGTCACCAGAGGTTGCCCTGACTTCCAGGCACGGGCGCACACACGCACACACAAAACTGCAAAAATATCGAAAGAAAGAAAGAAAGAAAGCTTACACCTTGAAACTCTTGCTGGTCTCTAAAGTGCTATCAGACTCAAACCTAACTGTTCTACCATTCAGATAGATTCCGCTTGGTAGCCCTGTTGGTCTGAAGCAGCAGAACAAAGCTTGAGTCCAGTGGCACCTTTAAGACCAACAAAGTTTTATTCAGGGTAAAAGCTTTTATGCGCACACACACTTCTTCAGATACAATGAAATGGAAATTACTGGTCCCAGGCCTGTAGCCAGGAATTTCTGGGGGGGGGGCGAGCACTTGGCACTGGCTAATTTAAATAATTTACTTATTCAAAGGTGGGAGGCAGAGATGAGCCCTGCAGATAAAAAGGGAAGGGGGTGGGGAAGGAATGGAAGCAAAATCATGGGCTCTGATGCCCGGCGGAGGGATTGGGCAGTGCGGCACTTGCTTTGCTGGCTTGGGAATCGGAGGGATGAAGGTGGTCAGGGCTTGCCTTGCTGGCCAGCGAGCAGTGAGAGAGAGAGCAGAGCAGCAGCGTGGGATAATCCAACCCAAGGGGCTTGACTTGACAGCCCAAGAGACGCAAGAGAGAGCAGCAGCAGCATGAGATTGGAGATTTGCCGGCTGGCGAAAAACAAAAAAGAGCAGCAAGAGAGGGCGGCACGAGGCTTGCCAGTGGTGGCAATGAGTGCAATAAATAAAATTAAAAGTTGGAAGTTGGGGTCCTGGGCTAGGTGAGTTGGGGGCCCTTGGTGGGAAGTCGGGGAGGCCGGGCCCTGAAAGGCTCCAATGTAGCTATGGGCCTGACTGGTCCATACATATAGGTAGAGGGTGAGCAGTAAAATAGCATACAGCATAATGAAGATGTTTAACAGATTCAAGGGCCAAGTTTAGTTTATATGGTTACCATTTGTTTGTGTTTAATTGGGGGAAAACATAGTGAAGGAAATAAATATGTCAGCATTGGAGATTGATGGGCAGATGTATACTTGATTGTGGAATAGTGAATTAACTGAGACCTGCCATCCTTCTTCCTCTCAAGCATGGAGGCGACCTTACAGCCTCTTCTTCTCAGAAGTGGGGTGACTGGATGCGTAGACTTACCTCCCCTGTCTCCAGACCATACATTGCAATCTACCATTCCAAATTAATTACAATCTACTATTCTATAAGTAGGTTAATAGTAAGAAATAAATAAAAAATAAAATAAAGAGGACATATGGCCCTTCTACCATTAGGCAGATTCATTTATAACGAAAAGCTGCAAATCACAAAAGTCAAGGTGGGTGGGAGATATTCCAAAGAGAGACTAGCTTAAAACAAGATCCAATTGAAAAAGTGAGGACCATTCCCAGGCAGCTGTTGAGGTGAGCTCTGACTCACAAAAGCTTAGGTAAAAGGTAAAGGTTCCCTTGCTCGAAAGCCAGTTGAATCCGACTCTAGGGTTGCGGTGCTCATCTCCGTTTCAAAGCCGAAGAGCCAGCGCTGTCCGAAGACATTTCAGTGGTCATGTGGCCGGCATGACTAAACACCAAGGTGCACAGAACGCTGTTATATTTATCTACTTGCAATTTCTTGCTTTCGAACTGCTAGGTTGGCAGGAGCTGGAACTAGAGACAGGAGCTCACCCCGTCTTGCGGCACCCGGGTCTTGAACTGCTGAACTACCGACCTTCCACAGCCTGCAGTTCAGCGTCTTAACCACTTGAGCCACGCAGCTCCCACAAAAGCTTATGATGGACTAAACATGTTTGGTCTCTAAATGGCCACTGAGCTCCTGTCACTTGGCTGCTAAGCAGCTGCCCATCTGGAATCCTCATCATAGTTAGGAACAAGCTCAGAAAACAACTCTCTTGTTACTCCCACTGGAATTATCCAATCTGTAAATAAATGTAAGACATGAATTTGTACTTGGTCCAAGATTTTACCTTTTGAACATATACAAATAAAAATGAAAATAGTACTAGATGTAATTTCCAAAATAAGAACACAATATAGGAAAGGAGAGGCAAAGGTCACCTAACAGTGGCATTATCAGCACAGTCCTCCGTTTCTTAACCCTCGGATTTCAATTTAAAAGGGTGTTAAATCTGCTTAGGGGGGCAGTGGAAGCAGTAGGGGAGGGAGCGCGCTCTAAGGGTGGACTGCAGTGGGGGACTCTGCAGCCTGCCTTGGATCCAGGGTCGGAAATGACCACAGGTGCAAGCCACACCTTTCGCCTCTTCCACCGTGGCGCGCTCTCTCTGCCAGTGTGGCGCGAAACAGTCCGGATTATCGTCCACACATACATGTCCTGATATTTTGGAGTGGCAAACATTAAGAGTTTAAAACATATTTGCTGGAGCACCAAACGTAAATACGAAGTAAGAAAAGGCGAGACTTTGACTGGACCCGTTACTGTAGGCTTACTGTAGGTCTCTGCACCCTTCCGAGTTAGACAGAAGTGTTCGTGATCCTGGAAGCAGAACAGGAGCAAGTGGGCTACGGGGCCCGGCAGCAGGGAGCAACTTTCCGGCGCTGCAAAGAGTTGCCAGGCCCGGCCGCCTGGTGAGTACCTAGGCGAAGCGCCTTCTCCCCCAGCGGGAGTACCACGCCCCGGGGAAGGAGGCCGACCCGAGCGGTGCCCGCCAGAGCTCGCGCAGCCAGGAGCGCTCCGGGCATGGAGGAGCCTTGAGAGAGGCTTTGCGGGACGCGCTCAGAGAATGGGACAGGCCGCGACAGGTGAGTGGCTGGACAGGGTGGGTCGCGACCTCCCCCGTGACCTCTTTGAGAAGGGTGGCCGCGGCTACGGGGACTCGCAGTGCCGGGATCCATGCCGGTGCCCACTGATTTCTCGGCGGAGGGCAGGCGCCGGATGAGAAGGGCGCACCTCCCAGATCAAGCTGGGGGGGGGCAGGTTCCACCCCCACCCCACCCCCCGGTGAGATCGTGTTGCTCCGGTCCGACCTCGAGCCAGCGTCCGGGCGACCGAGAGGGGAGATGCGCCGTTGTGGGTAAGTAGGTAGGTGGGCGGGCGGCTGAGAGGGAGTAGGCCGGGGAATGAGGCGGGTCGCCTGGCTTTCGGACTCTGTCTCTGGCCCTCCCCGGCAGGAGGAAGGCGATGCACACTGTTGATGACCGCGTCTCCCCGGAAACCAACTTCCCTCGCTCAAGTTGTGGAGAGTGAGAGGGCGGCTTTTCTCCGGGCGAGCCGACCAGCCTTAAAGAAACAGGGGCCTTATTGTTCCGCTCTGGTCCCTGCGCAGAAGAAGGGGGCAATTGAGGGAAAGGCCGGGGGACGCCCCCCCCGCTCCCCCCACTAGCGAGAGCGGCAGGCACACAAGCAGAGACAGCGTCGAGTATCCGTTTTCTCTCCTGGAGCCAGGCGGTCACCGAGGCTTCAGAAGAAGTGCTGAGGCTGAGCGCTGTAAAGGTGGTGGTAAAAAGGTCTCTTGGGCTGGACTGACTTCTGCGTCTGCAAATACGTGAGGGTCGGGCGGAGCCCAGCTCCTCTAGGGGAAATTAAAAGTCTTTCTTATCACTGCTGTCCGGCGGGCTGGGCTCCCTTTCCCACTTTGTTTGCCCAGAAATGTTTCCCACAGTCTCTCAATGCCTATTCTTTCTCAGTCAGTTACACTCAGTGTTTTAGGGGGCAGAATAACTCTGGCGGTGGACTTTTCCTCTCTCAGAGGACAGATGCCATGTTGTGCGTTGCTGTAACTGAATGCGCAGCAAACTTCACAAAGTTGGCTGAGGTGGTACTTGCACTGAACAATGCTGCGCTGTGCATCAGACAGGCCCTGGAGGTTACAGCTTTCTCCACAGGTTACATCCCAGGTGAAGAATTTGTTATATGAAACTTGTGCAATGTCTATGCATTGGGCTTATATCTCCAGCTCTTCTCCAAAGACCCCAGGGTCCCAGAGGAATAGCCAGCTCCTCCCTTTCTGAGATACCTGATGACAGGGAGGCAGGCTGAAGGCTGCTGTTGGGCTTCCTTTCCTCCGCCTTCCCCCTCTCCCTGCATCACAGCAGCAGATAGTGGCAATTGTGCATGTTGTGATGGAGAGATCTGGGGTACTTCTTAGAGGCAGAACAGGTGCCACATGTTGGATGCCAATCCCTGCAAACAGGCAACCTTGATCCAACAGATGCTTAAGGGACTATTTAATAGGAAAGAAAGGGAGTGCCAGCTCTTTGCATGTCAACCAGGCCACTTGAGTAGGTGGCAGGTGAGCACAGAGTATTGCCATTGTTGCCAGTCATATCACTGCTTCAGCTGACACCAGGTACCATTCTCTCCCCCCCCACACACACACAAGCAAGGTTGCCAAGAACAAACATGGACCCCTAGACAAACATGTCTTCTGGGCTCCTTCCCTTACACTACCCAGACCCAACCCAACTACCATACAAAAGCAAATTGCATGATGCCCTCCCATATTTTGTCCCCTTAGCCCCCTCCCCTCAGAATTCCTGCTCTCAATTGGCTCTCAAGAAGGAAACAGTAGACCTTTTGACCACAAACTAATAATACCCTTTAATTTGTGTAGATAAGGCACAGCAGTGTGGTACACTTTCTCCTCCTCTTATTTTCCAGCTGAAGTGCTGGCTTCATGGATAGAGTGCTCAACTGTATTTCTCATTGAAGATGGTGGGTTTTAATCTCCACAATAATCCTCAAAGGAGCAAAGTTGTGGGTCAGAAATTTAGCATGGAAATGGGGATGGGGAATTTTTAAGAACTCTTTCATATAACAACTCTTTTAATATGAGACTATCTGGAAAACAGGGAGGGGAAATGGGGCAGCATTCAAATCTTTAGCCCTTTTACCTGTAGTCTGGAATAGTCCAGCCCAACAACAGATGCATCCTACCAAGGGCTATGATCGTTTGGGAGGGGGCCTAAAATAGCCCTCTCTGAATGGCTGTAGTTGGGGGCCTGCTGAATGGAAATGGCTATCTTAGGGCAGGTTTTCACATTACAAAAATGTTAAAAAGTGGACCTACAAGTCACCTATACACTTTTTTGTGTGCTTCCGGGGTAACACGGGAAGGGAACTCAGCACCTTACCAGGAGGAGGGAGCATGGGCGCTGTACCTTCACAGAAGCTCATGCGAGGGATATAGAAACTCTTAGCATATTACCCTGGAAATACACAGAGAGGCTGGCTGTACATACTAAGAAGCCAGCACTCAGTGGCTTAAATACCTTGGTGAGCCAGTTCCAGCATTAAGTGCCACAAAATCTGAGGCAGACAGAGAGGATGGGAGACAGGGTAAAAAACGGAGGACTGTAAGCAAAGAGATCAGAGGTTGCCTCCTGAATACCACTGATCTCATCTAATATCCTGTGTCTCACAGCAGCCTGTGCTTCAAAGGAGATTGTATAACAAAAGTGTATTTGTGGAGTAACCCATCCATTGTTCAGCGTGAGATTCAAGCAGCCTGAAAATTTGGGACACTGATGTTGAGGCTTCATGCCTTCCCCAAACTCTTCACACAATCGGTATTTGTGGACATGACTAGTGTGATTTTGTCTGATAGTTTTGGGAAGCCAATAATACTGTTGCATTTTGCATGATCCTGGGGTAACAGGTTCTATGGCTCGATCATGACCTTTGATACAAAATCCTTTCACTCAAACTGAGCATAGCTTTATTCTCACAAGCAGAGCTGATAAGATTCCCCCCTCAGCTTTGAAATTTCATAGGGAAACTCTCAATGATTGCCTTAAAACTTGAAAAGAGTTTCTGGAGCTTTAAGGGAGGAAAATGGGAAGGAAAAGCTGATGTCATTGGTCAGGAAGGGCTCAGGGAGGGACCCCATTCCGGCTCATACTCTTTTAATTGTTCCACCATTGCAGAGATTAAATCAGTGTCCCCTGAACAGGATCCAAAATACCACAGCTTCCAGTTCTACACAATAATAGAAGCAGAATCACAATAGCAACTCTGCATAAAGAACAGATATGGACGCTGTTAAAGCATACAGATAAGAAGTGTTCAGCCTTTACTATTGGTGCATCAAAGCTGTCCACCAGTTAAGACTTTACACAGATTTGCAGTGCTTCTTGTAGCTTTTGCATTGTTTGCATGCAGGCAGATCAGCTCTACCACAGTGTAATGTTTGATAGTGTTCAGTGTTTTCCTGTCTCATTGTACTGCACTGCGTGGGCCTCTGTTTACAATGCAGGCTCTGTCAATAGGTTCCAATGACATATCACAGAAAGGCTTAGTCAGTGATTAGAGAGCTATAGACTGCTGATTTCTAGATATTGTGGGATTAAGTCTAGCCTCTTGGGCAAATCAGTAACTCTGAGCCTCAGTTTCCCTTCATTTAGATTGAACGGTTCATAAAGGTTTGTTGTACTCCAAAATGCACCTCAAACAGTTTTCAATGGTAATAACTGAAAGGGGCCACACAATTCCAATTCAAGCTCGATCCATTCACCAAAGTAGCTCACTGTCTCTTAGCATCAGGTCCCCAGAGGAATACTAATAATATTCCAGTGAGGTTAAGTGTACAGAAATTATGTAATGTACAAAACATTTTGGCTCACATCACACAAAACCAAAGTCTAATTAAACTACGTCCTGCTGTACAGTGTATTGGTCAGGCCGCACCTGGAGTATTATGTGCAGTTCTGGAGGCCTAGCTTCAAAAAGGATGTGGACAGAATGGAGTGGCCCGAGCAGGTGCAGAGGAGAGCAACAAGGATGGTGGGGCCTGGAGACCAAGCCCTATGAGGAAAGGCTGAGGGGAATGTTTAGTCTGGAGAAGCAGAGGTTGAGGGGGGACATGGTTGCTCTCTCTAAGTATTTGAAGAGCTGTCACTTAGAGAAGGGCAGGAAGCTGTTTCCCTTGGCAGCAGAGGATAGGACACGCAATAATGGATTTAAATTAAGGGTGGGAAGGTACAAGCTGGATATTAGGAAAAACATTTTTACAGTAAAAGTTGTGCAACAGTGGAATCAGACTGAAAAAGAGTGAAGGGGGTGAAACCAGGTTTTGTTGAGGCAAATCAGGGTTTGAGTGATCACCTGCAAGCTGATCCCTGGTTTCACAAGCTAATTATTGAGTTGGATACAGTGATTTGTGGATGCAAGGATCATGGATCTTTGCCACATTCCCCTCCCTGCCCTGGAAAAGTTTATTCTCAGTGTTATGGAACATGAATGAACTAATAGCCATGTGGGTTGGATAGCTTCACTGGAAAAGGGTAAGGAGGCAAAATTGCTCCTTTCTTCCTCTTCCATCAGTAGACCTGTTCTGATGGAAGAGGTAGAAAAACTGATTTTGTCCCCTTCCCCACTGCAGCCTCATAACACACATGGCTATTAATCACCCTACATCCCAGAGCCCTGGAGATAAATTTTCCTAGGGTTGGAAAGGTCTGCTGTTAAGAGGAGAATGCAGGAAAGATCTGTGATCATCATCAGCTTTTACTGACAGACTGCTGGATCATACCCATTGCTAAAATAAATGGTGTTTTTGCATTACATCTGTACCAAGCCTTTCTTTCATTCAAACTGGCTTTTACATGATCTTAAGGGGCCTAAATTAACACAAGGAATGCAGAGATTACAAATTAGCACTGTGTAGGGTAAGTAGATGCAGGATTGTGCCACTTGGACAGCAAACAAGGTCAGCGGCAGGCTCCACCAGATAGTATTGCCTAGTAAGTTGTGTTTATCTGAATATTGCCTAATGATGACTCTGGGCGTGGAATATTCAGGCATT